CAGTCTGGCAATGAAGAAGTTAGGAATACAGCTTCTGAAACCTTGCTCTCTCTTGGTAAGTTGGGTTTTTTTATGATTTTCTGGTATCTTGTTTTACTCCAGATGAAAAAAGAAATCTAGTGAACACAACAAAATATTAATATGAGAAGGTTTAATAAAAAAACTACAAAAATTAGAAATGAGATAGTGTCATCAAATTTACGAGCCCTAATCTCCTATTGACATGAACATAGTGGTGTAATTAAGTGATTTACTGTATAAAAACTTGTATTCCTTTCACTGTCACTGGAATTCTCAGGAAGGGAGAGGCCAAAAGTAAGGATCAAATTTCTCTGTCTCCTTTTCCCTTCTTCCTCCTTATCTTTTGAGAGGAAAGGTAAGATTTTAAATAGAAAATTGCACTACACTAGGAAGTAAAAATAAAAATCTTAAAGAAGCCCATGACAAAAAACTATTACTGTTGTCAAAAATTTGAAAGGCCACTTCCATGAACTCAGAAGACTGCAGGTCGTCTCAAAGGAGACCCAATCCTTAGAACCACAAGTTAAAAAGATGAAGCATTTATTGTTGTTTTCTTTTGTTGCTGTTCAGGAGAAGATGGACGGCTGGCATACGAACAGCTAGACAAATTCCCCCGTGAATTTGTTAAAGTTGGTGGTCGACGCACAACTGAAGTGGCTACAGCTTTTTAAATGTTCCATTTATATTTTAAGATATGCCAATTTCATCTGAACCAAGATGGTCCTGTAAAAAAACTGGAAGTTCAATACTCATTATTTTGAAAATTGTTTTGTAACTTAGGAACTTACCAGCATTAAAAAAAGAGAGAGGATTTAATATATGGGCTGCTGTTGGGTCTTCTATGTAGCGTATAGTAAAATATTGATTTGTTGAAGAATATGATAATCTTGCTTTTTTGTGAAATCCATGTAATTGATGTAAAGCTTTGGAAAAATGAGAGATGTTTTGAAATTGTAAGATATGTTAAATAGAGCAGTGTGTGTTTGGTGGGCATAATTGTGCCAGTTTGCAATATGTGATACTGTGTTGAAAACATTGAAAAGCAAACATTTATATAAGAGCCACAGTGGTGCAGTGCTTAGAATGCAGTACTTCAGGCTATTTCTGCGGACTGCTAGCTACCTGCAATTTGGCAGTTCGAATCTACCAGGCTCAAGGTTGACTCAGCCTTCCATCCTTCAGAGGTCGGTAAAATGAGGACCCAAATTGTTGGGGATAATATGCTGACTCTGTAAACCACTTAGAGAGAGTTGTAAAGCACTGTGAAGCAGTATATAAGTCTAAGTGCTATTGCTATTTAAAGCCGTTCTGGCTCCCACCCTCTTTGAATCTCATCAAGTATCTGCCCGTCTGGTTTTATTACTGATAGCCATCTAGGTTAGCATAAGCAACTCAAAATTTGGCCAAACTAAGGATGTGAAATTCCAAATAGTGTGATTTATGTCCCGTGTTTAAATATCCATTCTTCCTTTTTTCCCTGCCCTTCACTCAGAATGCAAATTAATGCTAGACTACATTTTCGTTGATAACCAATTGTGTAAGTTGTGTAAAGCAAGTGAAAAATTAAATTTGCCTTTTTCCCCCCTACAGAGAAGTATAGAAAGTATACTTAATGACAGGTAAGCCCTGAATTCCCAAAATTTCAGAGAGGAGAAATTTACCTGTTACTTTTTAAGACCTTGATTTATTTAATTTTATTTTTCAATATGACAAATGATAACACATAATTTGTGGACTGCCTTATAGAGCATAAAGTGATCAAGATAGTTTATAGGTTAATATGACAGACTTTTTCCGAAGAAAATCCTCTTGCGTTTATCCTGTTTACTTTCAAACAAGAAGGAATAGAATTGCAGCTCCAAAATGTTTAATGGAACTCCGTGCTACTATTTTTGTGGATTTATAATTATGAACACAATTAGTTTCTCTGCTACAGTTGGGGCCTACAAGCAGAAAAAAACAATCAAGTATTCTCTGAATCAGGTAGATTTTGGAGTTTTGTTTAGAAATATCTAATAAAGTCCTTCTTTTGCAAATGCATGGTTAAGACATTATTTTTGTGAATGTATATATTTGTATATTTATAAATCACATATAAGTATTACTTGATTAAAATTACATTTGTACAGTTACTGAAAAGTCTACCGGAAAAAAACCAAGCATTTCTCATAACATGAAAATATTATGTTCAGGTTTTTATAGCACATTCCTCACATGAGCTTGCAATCTTTTATGGTCGTCTTTTGTACTGATTCTTGACTTATATATGCCTTCTAATTTTGTGGTATTTGTTATTTCTGGTATTTACTGCTTCCTTTAAGTTATAATAAACATTATTTTTGAAATACGAAATAGCATGTGATAAAGTTTTCTTGCATTTATTGGCAATCAGTTCCTGCAAAGATATGTGGAAATGACTTTGGGAGGCAGGAGGAAGAGCTGCAGACTAGACAACTAGCGTGTAAAAGATTTCTCAGCCCATAGGAGGGAAGGCATAGGAAATGTTTCAGATGAAATTATCCCATTTTTCCAGAAAGGAAAAGGAAGAGGGGAGAAATATGTTTCAGTCTTGCAAAATTCTGTTAATATAACCTTACAATAAAGACAAGAGCTTGTACTTTTACTCTGGACTACCTGTAAGGGTTCATGGGTGTGTAAGGCTTTCAAAGCAGGGTTTAGACATCTTCCTGCAAATATTCCTGGACACTGAAATTGTTCACTGAAATTGTTAACAGTTGAAACGTGTGCTCCCAGATGATGGAAGCTATGATTTAATATTTAGAAGAAAGCAAACTCTTTCCTTCTGTTTTAAAGCTTCCCTTGGTGCCTGATCACTTTTGGTAGAATGTATTTTTAAAAGGAATTTTAACCATCAACTTCGCTAATTCTAGAACACAGTTCAATTAGCAAGTGCTCTTAAATATTGGATTTTTCCAAAGGTGAGCTACAACTTGCTGTTCTGCTATTTATTGGAATGTGGAGCTGAAGAAGGTGTCTTTTTAATTAAATGGCGAATGCAAAATTAAGAGAAATGTTTTTTAAAGGATTTAAGTAAACTAGAAAAACACAGGAATAGCTCTGTGTATGACATCATTAAGAACTTGTGCTGTTACATTGCACATTCTGTTTACAGAATTCATTACCTAGTTACCAGTTATGAGCGTGTTTTGTAGTAACTGAATATATTGATTTTTCCAGCATTTCTTTACTTGATGAAAGAAGGCATACTTCTTTAGGCAATATGGGAATTGTATTTAGTGCACTAAAAACTTGTTATAACTTCTATACGAGTGCAAAGGAACCAGTTTTGAAGCTGATAGATCCGGTCTTCCACCACCACAAAATTAAAATATATGCCATGGATCTAAGAAATACAGAGCTGCCACTGGAAGAAAGAGCCAAGGCTGCATTATATATAGGCCTACTGGCTTATACAGGTACGCATGAAAGATTGAGCTAAGTTTGGGATAAGAGATTCCAAAGGAGGAGATTAATATATTCTACATTCATCGAAATAATATGTAATATATTATCCTTAAAGGTGTCAAAGGTGACATGCTACATTTTGGGTGACATGCCAGCATTCACCAACCAGCTATTTTTAAAAGCAACTCCATTCTCACAATTTTTAGGCTGTGAAGGCTGCATGTAAGTGGGGTGTATTCTTGCATGACCTCCAGGTCCTCTAGAATTCACGTGGGGAGGGGGACAATACAAGAATGGGACGTGCTTTTGCAGATTTTTGGGAGGCTGCTGAAGAACATTCTACAAGAACAGGCCTTGTGTAATCTGGAGTAGCCTCAGGTCAGAGGGGCTGTCAGCAGAAAGAGAGCACAGTCTAACGGTAAGTAATACTGGCATCTCATGGGGACTGCTGGGCCATGGGGCCAATTACACCATTCTCCAAGCTGGTCTTTTTGAGTGTCAGCAATGTCCCTAAGGTTAAAATCGAGGCCTGGGTCTCAACTTCAGGCCCAGTTTTGGTGCCGCCAAGTGGCACTATTCACGTGCATACAGGGGGGAGGGGGGGAATATTTCTACTTTGTTCGGGGTGTGTGTGTGAAGCATCAGCAGAATCAAGTTAGACATGAATTTTTGATACACACAAAGCCTGAAAGGTTTGCCATTGTTCTCCTAAATATTAAGGAAGCAGATTTGATGAGACTAGAGTCAGCTCGAGATACAGGTATTACGGGGTCTTCAGCTACAGTAGAACTTTTGTATCCTTGCCTGTTAGTTGGGACTTAGAAGAGATGTGGTTTAAAATTACTGCGTTGTTAAAAAGGCCGGAAAGTTATCATTATTAAAGTTCCCAATTGCTCAATAAAAAAATGGTGTTTAGAAGCAGGAATGGCAATTGTTCCTTTTTCCTGTCATACCTCATCTTTGTAATCGTGAGAACGAACTTTAAAGCCCATCCTTCCAATTTCACTCAAAGCCACATATGCAATGGAGCAAACATGCAAAGTACCATTTACCTGAAAATAAGACCTAGCCTGGTCTTATTCTTTTTAGCATGCTAATTTAAGCCCTACCCCAAAAACAAGCCCTAGTTAAGGTGGTCATCAATGGAAGGGGCATGGCCAGCACGGGAGGCAGCAAGGGCATGGGGACCAACCGTGTCCAGCAGCAACCGCAGCCTGCACAGCACAGGTGAGTTGATTACCTGTCCAACAGGTGGAGGCAGAAGTGGGTGTGAGGCACACAATCTGGATGTGCCATGTGGGACACGGGAAAGCCGAGACTCAGTGGGGAGGAGCAGACGGGCAGGTGGAGGACGCTCATTCGTGCGATGGCACCAGCAGCAGATGTGCTGGGGGAAGGTAGGTGATCCCATCGTACTGTGCAGGTTGTGGGAAAGCTGAGAGACATGAAGATGAGCCTCCTGCGGCTGGCTGGCTGCCCACTTTGTCCCATCTCTCGGCTTACCTGCTCCATTGCAGCCAGACTGGGTCAGCGGCCATGCAGGATTGCTGGTGCCACTGCTGGAAAGCTAGGCAGGTTTCAGGGCATGGCTGGCTGGCTGTGGGGCCCTGAGATATGGGGCACATGGGGCAGCTCCACTCCCTGCCTCACGGCAGTGGCACTAGTGCACTGTACAGTCTCCTACCCCATTGTGGCTGTGAGCAAGAAGTGGGCCTCCCATATATGGAAAAAATAAGACATCCCCCCCAAAATAAGCCCATGCCCAAAAATATATGACGTCTTATTTTCGGGGAACCACAGGTAATACATTTTCATGCACGAAAAGTACTTTAGTTTGTTTATGCTATTTTTTTTATTCAGGATTTTTTTCTACTTGACATTTCTTCAAATAAGATTTTATTTTAGAAACTGACCCATGTAAAAGCTGTGCCGTGTAAAAGAGTAGACTGCCATTTAATTGCAATAATATACCCATTATAGATCCTTTTTTATAGCAGACACTTCTGCTTGCGACGGTAACATTTCCAGTTTCAAATGTTGCCTTCTTTGCAGACACGTCCAACAGATCCTGTTCTGCTGTACTGGACTTGGAAGAGATTGCTCTGGGTTCAACCGAGAAGCAGAAATGCCATTTTGGCGACGGCTGTTTGTTTCAGGCAGCAGTGATAATACTTGCATTCAAATCATTTGAACAAATTCTGCAAGTTGAATGAGGGCAGGAAAGGGGGAAGAATCTGCTTCATCTTGTCACTTATTGAAAATTTGGGAAATATCTTTGTTTAATGAGAAGGTGGCTCAGAATTTACAAACTGATTACTTTACAGGTGGTGTTGGTGCTGGAAATATTTCTACACAATATATTCAGGACATGGTTGATATTTTGATTATGCCAGATACATCCACCAAAGTCAGAATCTTAGTTTTAAAAGGACTATCTAGTGTATGCTACATTAACCCTGTAAACCAAAATGAAGCCAAAGCTCACCACCTTCCCGAAATTATGCTTTCCTATCTTGAAGAAGATGAAGACTCTGCAGAAGCGGATCCAGATGTAGTTCTAGTGAAGTTCTGGGTTTGTTATCTTATGACTGTTGTCTGCTGTAATAATATGTCTTATATTAGGTTATTTCATGAAATTGGTGGTCAAACACTAGAGAAAAGGCTGGAATATCTCTCTAATATGGAATGGTTTGGCTGGCCCCAAAACTATGCTACCTTAATGTACATCTTTATGGGATATCCAAGCCCGGAAGCATACAAATAGAATTACAGGAATATGTGTTAGAACAAATAATTCTGCTGCTGAGAAGCACTAGGTCTTTCTTACTTCAAATATTTTGACACAATAAAATTACTGCTTAGTGTTTAAATTTATGTTTAATTCTAAGATGTATTCAACCAATAAAGAATTAAAAAAGGATAAACATCCATAGTTAAACTCAACAGAACATTTCTTTCTGCCTGGATGTTCAATTTATTAGCCTAGCATCTAACCCTGATATCTCCTAGCGGGTCTTTCGAGAACTATTCACATTGAAGTCCCCTTAGCTATTTTTGAATTCAACCAAGATTGGCTAGGTGATGGCCCCTGCTTTCATTTTGCTACATGCTATCAATCTGAAGAAATGCTTTGTGAAAATGGTTTTAAGAACAATAAAAATGGTTTTAAGAATAAACAGAATTCAAAATACAAATAAACTGTTATACATATAACACCTCATGCGCTGTTAGTTGAAAATTATTGAAAACTATTAGGAATCCCGTTAAGCTAAACATTTGATAATCCATAATTGGTCTTAGATTGGGAAGAAGTCTTACCATTTGTAGAGAAGATAGTTTCAGTTTGATTGACTGAGGTGATGGGGCTGTAGATTACTTTAGCAGGGGAATACCCAGTTGGAAACGGCTGTAATCCCTATCCCATGTAGTCCAAACTTCAGAATAAAACAATTTTTAAAAGTTTTGTCTAGTAAGTAAAAAAATGAGATCCACAGCAGAAAAGTAACTTTAATAAAACTAATCAAAATGGCACAATAAGCAGCTCTCAAATTTTCTTGAAATCTTTATCAAGTTACAAAAATCAGAAACAAGGCAAAAAAACAGGTCAGATGTACAGATTAAACATTTATGCAAAGTGAAGTGGCCAGGGCAGTTCATTTCCCTGTGAAACGATTAATCTATCCAGCTAAATATAACCCAGTGGAATTAAATATGTTCTCTTATACTGCACTAATTTTATAAAGATTTAACAATACTTAGAAACAAAACATGGTAGTTTTCTTCCAAATACTGTCTATTCCAGTGGTGGCGAACCTGTGGCATGCGTACTAGAGGTTGGCACACAGAGCCCTCTGTGAGCACACGCATGCCATCGCCCCAACTCAGCTCCACTGTGTTTTTCCATGGCGTTTCTCTTCATCATTTCCAGGGAACAGAAGTTTCCCTGCAAATGATGAAACAGAAGCTCACAAAAGAAAAAGATCTCACCTCTTCAGAGCTGCCGCTGTTGGGATGCCTCGCCTCCCACTGGCCAGCTGGTCTTTGGATGTCTACTGCGCATGCGCTCGCGTGCCTTGCAGTTTGGGCATGCACGCACACACTTTGGGCCCTTGGTGTCTAAAATGTTCGCCATCATTTTGTCTATTCCATTCACAGGGCTAATTAGAGGGTAAGACTGAGGGGGTCTCAAGCTGTGGATTTAATAAAGTCATTTGAAAAAGTGTTTTACATTCAAAAGACATTACCTTTTGAGACAAGATAAATCTGCAAATTAATCCTGAAAAACAGAAACTGAGGCATGTCTGGTTTGGGAAGAATTGAAGAGAAATTACTTATTTCAAAATACTTATTTGGGAATTGTGCTATAATGGAAGAGGTCTCCAAGCAAGGATAAAGATACATGCCAGAGAAAACTAGAGTATGTAATATGATGTATTTATTTGGTAATTTATTTGATAATTACAAATGTCATAAATGAATAAAAACTTATTTACAAGCTGAAATACACAGTATTTCCAATTAATAAGTGACTACATACAATCTAATACTTTTGTTAAGACTGTTAGTCACTCTGCAACACATTAGCAGTGAAATCCCATCTTCCAAATCTTAGATAAACCTGTAGTTTTCAGAGGATTTCTTGATTGCTCTCCCCCCCCCCCCCACTTAGAGCCCAACACTTTCAGAGGTTACTTTCTCAATTTAAAGGCACATCTGCAACTTCATCTGTAGAACTGTTGGAAAATTTTGAATGTTCCTCTTCAGATTCGCCATTTAAATCTTCCTCAGCAGAATCATTTTTTTCATATTCAATTTCTTCCAGATCTAAACCTTTCAAAATGTCTAGGCTTTCTGGTGCTTTTCCAGTTATTTGCTAGATAAGTGAAACAATGGTGTTAAAGACATTCTATTCTTGATAAATTTAGCTTTACATTTCAAATTATACCGGTATAAAATTATAAACAAAATACATACAGATGGTCCTTGGGTTATGACAGCAATTGGGGCCAGAATTTCCATCACTAAGCAACCTCAGTGGTGTAATGCAACATTACCTGACCACATCACTTAGTTGAAGGCAATCACAGAAGTCCTTGTTGCTGTTGCAATGCTAGGACTGCCTGGGTCATTAAGTAGGAAGAGGCAGGGATCCCAGGCAAACAAGCCGTTAGGGAAGAGCTCTGGGCAAGGGAGGTGCTGCAGATGGATGCTACAGAATGTAGGCGAGTGTGTGAGGGCCACTAAAGGTAGGTGCCACAGAGTGCAGGTAAGCACTGGTGAGATTTTTGAGGTTGCTCCCTTACTAGAATTAATATTCATTTCCTATTGTGCGTTCTGTTTTTTTTAAAAAAATGACTGGATTTATATATTATTTTTTAAATTTAGTATTGTACAATGCCCTGAGGCATTCCTTGTGCCGAGCAGACATATACATTTGATAAATGAAAAGGGTCTAAGGATTAACAACACATAGACTACACACTGTGCTCATCCTCCCTGGTGGCACAGTGGTTGGAATACAGTATTGCAGGCAAACTCTGTCCTCAGCCTAGAATTTGATCCTGAGGGAGGTTCAAGGTTGACTCAACATTCCATCCTTCTGAGGACTCAGATTGTTGGGGGCAATATGCTGACCTTGTAATCTGCTGAGAGCACTATGGAACAATATCAAACTCCAAGCGTTATTGCTCAACCTCAAAGTTGAAAAATCAAGATCAGGGTTCAAAAGATCATATCTGCCATGCAAAGGAGACTTGTAGCAGGATATTCAAGACCGCTGTTTCCTCCACCCCGCATAGATTAATCATTTACTTACTTTTTAATTTCCAAAAGGTATAAACTCCAGTCAACATCTTATCAACTGAGCAGCTTACCTCTATCATATTTGCCATATAATGAACATGGCCAGCTAGTTCTGCCAGTTCTTCATTTTCTTCTTTTAGACGAGCAATTTCACTAGTTTTTAATTCAATTTCTTGATGCAACTAGAGAAAAAAGAAGATTTTAGATAATGCAGATTTCCAAAGCATGTCTTCTGTGACTTCTTTAGAACATTACCTTTTCATTTTCTTGTAAAACCTCATGCAGGGCTTTCCTCCTCTCCTCAGCCAATTCCTTCCAATACTGGAATGAAGGATTACCTGGGGGGAAAAAACCCTGATACTAAATCCAGCACATAATTTATTGGAATTACTGGAGCAACATCAGACCTAAGTCAACATAAAACAGGGGTGGACAACCACAGAAACTTTACAACCTGCGGTCTTCAACTCCCAGAATTTCTAAGCCACCATGTTGACTCAGGAATTCGAAGAGTTAAAGTCCACAAGTCATAAAGTTATCATATTTGCCCACCAGATATAAAGTATTATTTTAACAGAAATCATATGAAACACTATGGTATCAGGGTTCTTTAAAAAATCTACTCGATTCCATTACCACAATTTTAAAACCACAAAATTCCTCATGGTAGTGGCAGATAGGGAAAAAGACCACCTCCACCCCCAGATTATTCCAGAGGTATCTTGAAGGCTGACTGAGCTGGAACCACAGGCTTGACAGCTGGGGTAAAGCCTCATTTATTTACCAATTTTTTTAATTTGCTTTCTATTCTACCTTGTAGCTCCTGGTTCGGTTACATGTTCATCTCAAACAAGAGAATGTCAAGAGTGTCTCTGTTCAAGCTCAACTAAAATTACTTGCACTTAGGTCACAATCTCTCCAGTATCTGGGTGCTCTTATTTTTCTGTATCATCTTATTCTTTACAGGATTCTAAATGGGACCTTATTTCTGTGCCTCTTGCTGGAAGCCCAGTTCTAGGCTGTCTGAGACCAAGTAGCTATATGCCCCTACAACAACACATTATACCAGTGCTCTACATGCTGCACGGGTTGCCAGGGGTGCTTAGAGGTCCAATTAAGAGGCTGGTTTTGACATTTAAAGCCCTTCATGACATGGAGCCATGTTATCTGCGGGACCACCTGTTCCTGACTATATCTGCTTGTCCCACCAAAACTGGCAGAGAAGGCATGCTTCAGGTCCTATTAAGAAATTACATTGGGCAGGTGCCAGAAGATGGGCCTTCTCTGCTGTGGCATCTGTGTTATGGAATCTTCTTTTCAACATTCTCCAAATGTCTCAAGACTTGGCTATACCATCAGGCTCTTGGGGATCCCAGGGAGATCCTGTAACAACTCCCTTATTATGGCTAAGATCATCCTCCCTGCTCATGTGTTTAGTTTTTAATGATGACAGTTTTATATAGTTACTGGCTTTTTTAGTTTTCTGCTGATATGATACATAAATGAAATAACATCAAATTGGTTTTCATGAGAATAGTCACTTAACCATCACTTCCACCTTCCTTTCATAATAGTCCCAAATACCACTCTAGATCTGTGCCTGCACAAACATACTGAACACAAAAAGACCAGTGACTCTCAATTCTCAGCTGTTTAATTAAAAGTCCCAATAGCTAAGTTTTCTTTCTATATAATGCATTAAATATAACACATAAGATCAGATCATTCTTAAAAACTGCAGCTCTCCATGTTTAGCAGTAAATACTTCTAAATATTATTACTTGATTATAACTCCAATTCAAGAGCTCTTTCTTCTGTTGTGGGATTTCAAAGGCCTCTAGCTAGATGCTACAGAAAACAAGATGATGGCATTCCATCTAACACAGGGGTCCCCAACCTCTGGGACACGGCCGGTTTGAAACCAGACTGCGGGAGAGATGGACAAGTGAGTGCAAGCACCCTTCCCTTGCGCAAGTGGAGCTTCGTGCACAAGTACCTGCTGCTAGCACGAATGGAGCTTCATGCACAAGTGCAAGCAGCTCACACATGAAGCTCCATTTGGCCAAGTGGAGGGCACGCACACCCACTGCTCACAAATGGAGCTGTGAGCGTGTGCCTACTACTCACATGCCCCTTCCCCGCAATGCCAGACTGGCAAGTGGAAAGGTTGGGGGGGGGGGCGCTGATTTAATCCAGTATGATAATTTGCTATGGTAATTATATGTGGAACAAACCTTTTGCTGTAAGATCAGAAGGTTGGATCACTCCTCTTATGTTTCTGTGTTCTACTTTATCAGCAGCCTCAGGTTTGGATACTTTTGAGATAAGCTGATCATTCCAAAATTTCTTCTTGATTGAAGACTTAGCCTGCTATAAATTATGAGCAGTTTTAATAGTTTAGATCTTTGAAGGTGAAAGACAACCTATGCTTCCATCCATTTAATTAAACTTAAAACGAAGAGTCCAGAAACAATACCCTAATCAAGGAACCACCAAGGAGAAAATCACAACTCCATCCAAACTGGGAAGCCACTATATAAAAATAGGAAGCAACCTCCTCCCCACCTGCATTGATGATGTTACCTGGGTACTGAAATGTCTGCAACCAAACAACCAAACTCAGAGAGCACTAAAGTTCAAACCTGAGCTACATATATTCTCTTATATTGGAGAGTCCAGTTAAGAGTTTATATTAATACTACCTTGAGCTGCAATGACAGAAAATGAGTCACTGATCTCTCTTAATTTAATGTTCTTGGGGTAATGAGAGTGCAAAGTGGACCAGGTGCAGTGTTCTCCAAGCTTGCTGTACAACTTGGTCTGCTTCGTACTTCAGAACTGTTGTTTTGTAATGTTGCCCACCATTTATTTAAAGTATGCTATTTAAAGTAGCAGCATAATTACAGTTTAATTAAAAGCAAACTACAATTCATGTGTCAGCTCATAATGGACTGACTTCTGACTAGATTCTGTTCCAAAAGAAATTCATACCTCATTTGCCCTGCCCACCAGGCAACCTGTAATAGATGGCTGTATCATCTTAAGGGTCTGCCTCTGTGATGTGCAGTTTGTATTATTTGTAGAAACCTGCTGGGAAACAACATATAGAGAAAGCTAATTTTTAAAGTGGACTATATTATTATTTAAACACTACCAACACTTCACATTTAGTAAGAATGTTATTATATTTGATGGGAACTTTTTCTAAAAGTTAAAACATGTAAAGTCAGTACTTGTAAGTTAGGCCAAAGAACCTCCTGGCACTGCCCCCCCCCCCCCCCCCATGATAGAAATCATAATTAGACACCAACAAGAAACCACTGATTCATTCAGATGTAGTTTTACTCTGCATTATTTTCAAGTCCAGAAATAGGTTGATGACACCTAAGCAGTTATAAACATTCAGGTTAATTTATACACTGTTAAGTCTACCTTTGAACTTCAACCAGATACTACACAATTCAGTCTTATATCAACAGTAGTATTTACATTGTGCCTAGTCAGAGTGGAAGTTAACTTCAAAGTAGTTCTGTTTATTA